CAAAGCTGACGCTGAATAAATTTTGATAGAATGAAAGAAAAAAAGACATCTCTTCTTGTTTCAGTGAATTGTGTGTTTCCATGTACATGCATGAGTGCACGGATATGTAGCTCCATGGTTTTATTACAAAAACATCATCTCATAAATAATGGTGTATGCTCTGTAGCAGTTTCAGTTGTGTCTGAAGTGTATATCATGGTGTTTTTTTTTGCATCATCACATGAATGATGTAAATAGTAGCAAGATTATTGACATTGTGTGGGTTGCGATGGGAGAGGGTGTGACCCTGTATCGTTCCTATTTATGCTCTTCTATTGTAATTCAGCTTCCTTGAACTTGTTTCAGGTATTCTCAGGGAACTCTCTGTGGATGCTCTTTCCTTTTCTGGTAGTTAACTGGTTGATTCTTTAGTTGTCTCTCCCAACCACCTGAGCTCAGGTGCTGTTGCTCCATTTCTTAACTGTTTAATCTGAGCGATTTCTTAGAGTGACAGAATTTACTCCCCAGTAAGGTGGACACAGATCTTTCTCTAACATGCTGTTATGTTGATGACAAGTTCATCCATGTGAAGTCTTTAGAGTAATTCTTAGTGTGTAGGACAGGTGCTGAAACACCTGACGTCAATGTGATGATGTCATCATCACACTGTGTGCTTTCTTTTAAAGTCACTGTGGACTTTGTCGTCTCTGAAGACACCAGTCTTGCTGTAACTCAACTACATAGTGACACTGTGTCACTCTGTGTTGAATGTAACACTTCTGCATACACAACCCAGTGTTTGGTTTTGTGTATTTTTCATGTATTGTCCACATACCTGACAAATTCATGTTGATTGCAGGAGATCATAATCTTAGAAAAAAGATGAAATTAGAAATTCGATTAGAGACCAACAGTTTGCTTCAAGCAGCTTTTATTGATCTATCAGAATATTACTTCAACTGAATTGAGCTTTACCCCTCTCACCTCCTCTCATTTTGTATGAAACTAAGAACCTTCCATATGGCCCATTGGTGAAATGTGTTTTCATTTCATGCACAGTTGACCTTCAAAGATGTGTTCATAGAGTTCTCTCCTGAGGAGTGGGAGTGCCTGGACCCTGCCCAGAGGACCTTGTACAAGGACGTGATGGTGGAGACTCTCAGGAACCTGCTGTCTGTGGGTGAGGATCACTTCCCCCTGAAGTGGGGATCTGCCCTGGAGTACCTCTGCATGTTTGCTCTGTACCTTTTGAGATCCCCTGTTTTTCTTGACTAAGCTCAACACCTTGTTGACTCACACATGTAAAGCTTCGTGATTGACATCAGGAGTTTAAACTTGTCTTTCCTTCTGGTGACCTGCCAATGTGTGATACAGAAGGAGTTTTTTCAGAACTTGAGCATTTATGAAGCTGATTTCAAACTTTGAAGTATCAAGTTGCCTGTTTTCTAGCTGTGTGTTCTTGGTTCAGTAGTTCTTAGAGAGGAACTAGATACCTGCTGCATTTTGTACTGTACATTATACTGTTCCCTGTGCATTCAAAAGGAAGCAGATAGTAAATTCATTTGAGAAGCATTTTTCTGTTGGTTTATAATGTCCTCACTCCTTGGTTGAAAAAAAGGCTGGATTCTACACCTGCCAATGCAGAAGACACAGGTTTGATCCTTGCTCTGGGAAGATCCCACATGTCACAGAGCAGCTACGCCTGTGTGCCTCGACTACGAGCCAGCACTCAAGAGCCTGGAAGCTGCAACTACTGAGCCTACATGGGACAACTACTGAAGCCCGTGCACCCAGGAGACGCCGCAGCAAGTGAGGAGCACGAGCACTGTATCTGGAGCGTAGCCCCTACTTACTGAACTTGGAGAAAAGACCAAACAGCAATGAACAGTCCACTGAGCCAAAAGAAATGAATACATTAAAAATTAAAAAGTTAATATCTATTAAAAATAGTAGATACATTTATTAAAAGAAAAAGAGTTTGGATTCTAGATGAAGCCACGGTATGTGTCATTACTTGTGAGTAGGAATTTCTATTTCTGATCTGAACATCATCTCCATACTTGTGTTACAAGGAGAAAGACCCCTGGATTGTAGAGAATGAGGTGCTAATAGCAACAATCCAGATGAGTGGGAAAGTATCAACAGTGTGATCACAGGTCAGCTGTCACAAGGACAGAGAGGAAGCCACACCATTCATGGGGTTTGGGAAACTCTCCAAGTGGGCGAGTTCTGTGAGAAAACAGATGTTTAATGTTTGTGAATCTCCAGGATATTTTTCTTCTCCCTAACTGACGGCTCTGTTCTTCGACATGTGAAATGTACAGCACCCTCCAGTGGAGCTGTAGCATCCACAGAGATGAAGGCGAGGTCTTTGTTTTTGGCCTGTACTGGGTCTTTTTTGCTATTCGGACTTTTGTCTGGTTTGAGACGAGTGAGGGCTACTCTCTCGTTGTGGGGAGCACGGTTTCTCATTGTGGTGGTTTCTTTAGTTGTGAAGCACGGGCTCTGGGCACAGGAGTGTGAGCAGTTTTGCAATACAGGCTCAGTATCTGTGGTTCATCAACTTATTCTCGGTGATGGATTCTTTACCTCTGAGCCACAAGGGAAGCCTCAAAGCCTGTTCCTTTACATATATCTTGAGCCAGTGAACTGGGTGAGTTTAGGTTAGTGTGTAGATAGGGAATTGATGTATAATGATTATCGTACAAGTAGAGACTGTTTCTCATATTTTTTGTTTTTTAAAAATGACAGTCTTTTTGTATTACACTATATAACTGACATGATCCACTCATTAATGTCATAAAACGACTAAATGTCTATCTACTGATATATTTTATGTCTATCTACTGATAGATTTATAACAGGTATTTTTAAAAGTATTTATTTTTTTATTTTTTAAATAATTTTAGGGAATTCCCTGACAGTCCAGTGGATAGGAGTCAGTAGTTTCGCTGCAGCGAGCCCGGATTTAATCCATGGTCAGGGAACCAAGATTTTGTAAGTCACATGACCCAGCAAAAAGAAAAGAAAAAAAAAATATATATATATATATATAGTTTACAGAATTCTATATTTTCTCAATGCAGTATTTGTTGAACAGTTCCTAACTGCCATTTATTTTTTACATTATTCATTAGAATGCTTCTTTTGCATTGTTTATCATTCCAGTGTATTGCCTTTTTGATGGTTGTTTGCTCAGTTTCTCAGTCCTGTCTGACTCTTTGTGATCGCATGGACTGTAGCCCACCAAGCTTTCCTATCCATCGAAGTTTTTTCAGGCAAGAATAGTGCACTGGGTTGTGATTTCCTGCTCCAGGGGATCTTTCCGACCCAGGGATTGTATCCACCTGTGTTGCGTCTTATGCATTGGCAGGCAGTTTCTTTACCACTGAGTCACCTCTCTAGTCCTGTATGTTCTTCACCATTTAAACATGTATAAGTATTAATAAAGTGTACACAGTATAACATTAGTTTCTTCTCAGTTATGAGACAGCAGTGTGTTTAGTAGGATGAGCCTTGAGGTCATGGTGGGAAAAGACGTTTTCTTTTCAAACTGACATGAGTTTGCTTAAAATGAATGTTTTCTGATTGTGTTTGAAACGACACTACCCTAAAATTAATTTGAATTGCATATGAGCACTCCTTTTTAAAGAGTTCTATTTCTTTAGTGTTCTGTAGTTTTAAGATCATTGTGAAGATTCATAATTCTGCTCAGGATCGATAGGACTACTGGTATAATATCATGTACTCAACAGGAAATAATTTATTTCTGTATTGTGACTAATAGAATACCTGTGGTTCTTTATGTCTTATAGATATGTCTCATATACATATGATCAAGAAATTACACGCAAAAGCAAACAGTGGTAAAGGGGAAATTTTTCAAAGACTGATGTTTGGAAGAACTGAAAGCCTTGACATCAAAGATTTTCACCTCAGGGACATCCAGGAAAATATACATGACTTTGATTGTCTGTGGACAGATGATGAAAGAAATGACAAAGGAATGTCTACATCCCATAACAAAAACCTCACTGATAGAAGACATTATCCTAGTAGAAGTGATGTAGGAAATAGACCTTTTGAAAGGCACGGATCAAGCTTTCAGAATGAATTGCAGGTGGTACAATCTGAAGGGATAATTTTTGAATGTAGTCAGGTTGTGACAAATGTCAGGGCAATTCATTGGACAATTCATACTGGGGAGGAACCACAGAAATATGATGTATGTGGCAAGGCTTTTATTCAAATTGGAAACCTTGCAGTTCATCAGAATATTCATATTGCAGAGAAACCATATAAATGTAATGTGTGTGGTCAGTGCTTTCAACAAAGTACACACCTTGAAAATCATCAGAGAACTCATACCGGACAGCAACCATATAAATGTGATGTTTCTGGAAAGGCCTTTAGTCAAAATTCAAGCTGTGCAGTTCATCAGAGACTTCATACTGGAGAGAAACCTTATAAATGTGATGTATGTGGCAAGGCCTTTAGTTCAAATTCAAGCCTTGCAGTTCATCGGAGAATTCATACTGAAGAGAAGCTATATAAATGTGATGTGTGTGGCAAGGCGTTTACTCGTACTGGACACCTTGCTGTTCATCAGAGAGTTCATACTGGAGAGAAGCCATATAAATGTGATGTATGTGGCAAGGCCTTTAGTCAAACTGCAAGCCTTACAGTTCATCAGAGGATTCATACTAGCGAGAAACTATATAAATGTGATGTATGTGGCAAGGCCTTTGGTCAACCTAGAAGACTTATACTTCATCAGAGGATTCATACCGGAGAGAAGCCATACAAATGCAATGTATGTGACAAGGCGTTTAGTCATGCTGCAAATCTTACTGTTCATCAGAGACTTCATACTGGAGTGAAACCATATAAATGTGGTGTATGTGGGAAGGCCTTTCATAAAACTGCAAGCCTTGCAGTTCATCAGAGAATTCATACTGGAGAGAAACCATATAAATGTCATGTATGTGGCAAGGCCTTTAGTTCAAGTTCAAGTCTTGCAGTTCATCAGAGAATTCATACTGGAGAGAAACCATATAAATGTCATGTATGTGGCAAGGCCTTTAGTTCAAATCCAAGCCTTGCAGTTCATCGGAGAATTCATACTGGAGAGAAGCCATATAAATGTGATGTGTGTGGCAAGGCATTTACTCGTACTGGACACCTTGCTGTTCATCAGAGAGTTCATACTGGAGAGAAGCCATATAAATGTGATGTATGTGGCAAGGCCTTTAGTCAAACTGCAAGCCTTGCAGTTCATCAGAGGATTCATACTAGCGAGAAACTATATAAATGTGATGTATGTGGCAAGGCCTTTGGTCAACCTAGAAGACTTATACTTCATCAGAGGATTCATACGGGAGAGAAGCCATACAAATGCAATGTATGTAACAAGGCGTTTAGTCATGCTGCAAATCTTACTGTTCATCAGAGACTTCATACTGGAGTGAAACCATATAAATGTGGTGTATGTGGGAAGGCCTTTCGTAAAACTGCAAGACGTGCAGTTCATCAGAGAATTCATACTGGAGAGAAACCATATAAATGTCATGTATGTGGCAAGGCCTTTAGTTCAAGTTCAAGCCTTGCAGTTCATCGGAGAAGTCATACTGGAGAGAAACCATATAAATGTCATGTATGTGGCAAGGCCTTTAGTTCAAATTCAAGCCTTGCAGTTCATCGGAGAATTCATACTGGAGAGAAGCCATATAAATGTGATGTGTGTGGCAAGGCGTTTACTCGTACTGGACACCTTGCTGTTCATCAGAGAGTTCATACTGGAGAGAAGCCATATAAATGTGATGTATGTGGCAAGGCCTTTAGTCAAACCTCAAACCTTGCAGTTCATCAGAGAATTCATACTGGACAGAAATCTTAAAAATGTGATGTGTGTGGCAAGGCATTTAGTCGTAGTGGACACCTTGCTATTCATCGGAGAGCTCATAGTGAAGAAAAGCCATATAATTGTGCTATATGTGATAAGGCTTTCACTGTAAGTTCAAGCCTTGCTGTTCATCAGGGAGTTCATACTGGAGGGAAACCATATAAATGTAGTGAAACTTCAAGCCTGACAGTTCATTGGAGAATTCATACTGGAGAGAAACCTTATAAATGTGATGTATGTGGCAAGGCCTTTAATGAAACTACAAGACTTGCACTTCATCAGAGAATTCATACTGGAGAGAAGCCATACAAATGCAATGTATGTGACAAGGTGTTTAGTCATACTGGAAACCTTACTGTTCATCGGAGAGTTCTTACTGGAGTGAAACCATACAAATGTGATATGTGTGGCAAAACGTTCAGAGTAAGTTCACACCTTGTTCATTTGAGAGTACATACTGGAGAAAAACAATATAAATGTGATGTATATGGCAAGGCCTTTAATGAAGCAATAAAGGTTGCAGTTCATCGGAGGTTCCATACAGGAGAGAAATCATATAAATGTGATATATATGGCAGAGCCTTTAGTCAAGCTGCAAACCTTAGTGTTCATCGGAGAGTTCATACTGGAGTGAAACCATATAAATGTGATGTATGTCACAAACACTTTAGTGAAACTTCAAGCCTTGCAGTTCATTGAAAAATTCATACTGCAGAGAAACTATAAATGTGATGTGTGTGGCAAGGCCTTTAATCAAACTATACAAAACTTGGACTTCATCAGAGAATTCATACTGGAGAGAAACCATATAAATATGATGTATGTGTCAAGGTGTTTGTACTGGTAACCTTGGTATTCATCAGGGAGTTCATACTGGAGAAATATCATATAAATGTGATGTATGTGCTAAGGCATTTGTACTGGTAACCTTGCTGTTCATCAGAGAGTTCATACTGGAGAGAAACCATATAAATGAGGTATATGTGGCAGGGATTCAGTGTGAATGCAAACTTTTCAGTTCCTCAGAGAATTCATACTGGAGAGAACCTTAGTAATATAAAAATTGTGACAAACCATTTAGGTACAGTCATCCATAACTCATCATCAGGCAGGTCAGACAGGACAGAAACCATATAAATATGATGTATATGGCTGGTGCTTTACTTGAAATGACAAACTTAGAAACCATCGGAGAATTCATACTAGAGAGAGACATTAGAAATGTGACAGTTGTGAGAAACATTATAGTGCAAAAGTCATGAGTGTGACAAAGCCTTTAGTCAGTATTCAGGCCTTATAATTCAGAGAATTCATACTGTATAGAAAACATACAAGTGAAATGAATGTGGCAGAGTTTCTAGTGCATGTTCAGCATTAACCGCCCATTAGGCAATTCATACAGGAGAGAAAGCACGTACATGTTATTTATGTGGCAAACCCTTCAATCACAAGGAATGACGTTGCAGATCATCTGAGAATCCATACGGCAATGAAAACTTACACATGTAGAGAGTGTAATAAAATATATCAACTTTTTGACCCTCAGAAAATTCAAACTTGGGAAAACTACACAGATGTGCTAGGCTCAGTTGTGTCCAACTCTTTGCAACCCCATGAATTTTTTTTTCCCCATTTATTTTTATTAGTTGGAGGCTAATTACTTTACAACATTGCAGTGGTTTTTGTCATACATTGAAATGAATTAGCCATTGATTTACATGTATTCCCCATCCCGGTCCCCCCTCCCACCTCCCTCTCCACCCGATCCCTCTGGGTCTTTCCAGTGCACCAGGCCCGAGCACTTGTCTCATGCATCCAACCTGGGCTGCAACCCCATGAATCTTCAGAGTACATCATGCAAAATGCTGGGTTTGATGAAGCACAAGCTGGAATCAAGATTGCTGGGAGAAATATCAATAAGCTCAGATATGCAGATGACACCACCCTTATGGCAGAAAGTGAAGAGGAACTGAAATGGAAGAGGAGAGCAAAAAAGATGGCTTAAAATTGAAAATTAAAAAAACTAAGATCATGCCATCCAGTCCCATCACTTCATGGCAAGTAGACGGGGAAACAATGGAAACAGAAATTTTCATTTCTTAGGCTCCAAAATCACTGCAGATGGTGACTGCAGCCATGAAATTAAAAGACACTTGCTCCTTGGAAGAAAAACTATGACCAATCTAGAAAGCATATTAAAAAGCAGAGACATTACTTTGTCTACAAAGGTCCATCTAGTCAAAGCTATGGTTTTTCCAGTAGTCACTTATGGATGTAAGAGTTGGGCCATAAAGAAGGCTGAACATTGAAGAATGGATGCTTTTGAGTGATGGTGTTGGAGAAGACTGTTGAGAGTCCCTAGGACTGCAGTAAGATCAAATCAGCCAAACGTAAAGCGGATCAACCTGAAATATTCATTGGAAGGACTGAAGCTCCAATATTTTGGCCACCTGATGCAAAGAAGTGACTCGTTAGAAAAGCCCCTGATGCTGGGAAAGATTGAAGGCAGGGGGAGAATAGGGTGACAGAGGATGAGATGGTTGGATGGCATCACTGACTCAATGGACATGAGTTTGAGAAAGCTCTGGGAGATGGTGGAGGACAGGGAAGCCTGGTGTGCTGCAGTCCATGGGGTCATAAAGAGTTGGACACGACTTGAACAACAACTCAAGAAGAGGAAGCAGAAGAGATAAGGACACTCTCCCCCTCCCACTTCTTTTATTATAAAACTGTAGCCCACTAATTACCCTGGGCGGCACCCTCTCCCCCTCTGCTTGTAAGCCTCACAAGTGTCTTTTTTTTTTTTTTTAATCAGCACAGGCTGCCATAGAGATATGGTATAGATGTTTAGAGACACAGAAAGGATCTTGTTGCTAGCGCAGGAGACAGGGTAGATGGTATGTGAGAAGTAAAGAAATTTTACTGAGTGCTGCTAACAGGATTTGACAGTCTACATTCTAAATTTGGGGTTTTTTCTCCTATATTCTAAGTCTAACCCTGTTAAAAGTCTAAGTCTAGCAGTTCTACCTGCTATTTATGTATTTTTTAAAAAAGAAACATTTATTATTTATTTGGCTGCAATGACTCTTAGTCGTGGAAAGTGGGATTTAGGCTCCCATCCAGGAATGGAAGCTGGGCCCCCTGCATTGGAAGCATGGAGTCTTAGCTACTGGACCACCAGGGAAGTCCTTAGATGTCTCTAAGCTGCTAAGTTTTGCATTGCAATGCCTGTTTTATGACTAAGTTTTAAAATGAAACTATGAGATCTCTATTGGGACATCTGTATTGTTCAGGTTAATTTGTAGGTGAGCTCTATTTAACTGCCTTTTTCCAAAGTGCTTACAAATTAAACATTTCTAAATAAAAGCTAAATGGATTTTGGATTCATATGACCCAAGAAACATTTAGTATTAAATTAACATCTGGCATTAAAGTTTGTTGTTCGCTTGTTATTTAATAGAGACCTGTCATTTAGACACATCACTATTAAGCACATTTTTATGGTACCCAGGTTTACTCAAAGTCAGTAAGTATATTTGTCATAAAGTTTGTCAGCAAGAAAATTAACTCATGGGCTTTCCTGGAGGCTCAGCAGTAAATAATCCTCCTACCAATGCAGGACACATGGGTTTGATCCCTGATCTGGGAAGATCCCACATGCTGTGGAGCAACTAAGCCCCTGTGACCCAACTACTGAGCCTGTGCTCTAAAGCCTGGAAGCCACGACTCCTGAAGCCCGCGCGCCCTAGAGCCCATGCTCTGCAAAACAGAAGCCACTGCAGTGAGAAACCAGGGCAGCTCAGCAAACAGTAGCCACTCCTTGCTGCAAATAAAGTCCGAGCAGCAACGCAGAGCCAAAGAGCCAAAATTGAATAAATTTTTTTTTAAGTGTTTTTCACTTGGGGTATACTCTGTACAATTTTTAGTGATCAAGACACTCACTTTACTGGACAAATTTTACAAGTCTATGTTATCAATTAACCAGACTTATTTATAAACAACTTAATCTTGGCTACATTTGGGACCAGTGAGGGTAATTTAGGAAGAAAGGAATTATGTTTTAATAGATAATTTTTAGTTTGGCTGAGATCAGTATCTACTGTCTAAAACTCATTTTTTAAATAGCACTTTGTTGTCATATTATTGTAAAGCTTAACTGAGTTGTTAGGAAGATATTCTAGGCTTGTGTCTGAAGTTCAGCACTGCAATCTATCTTTGGATGCAGATCAGATGCCCATAATCTATAAACAGGGGATTATATGTTCTAGAAAAAAAAACAAAACACCGCATCATTTAAAGGGCTGTGTCCACGCTGGATAAATGCCTCTTATCAGGTATTCTCAGCATCCTGCACAAGGATACTGAAGGGAATCAACTTCCAGTGTATACCCTCCTCCCCTGAGCCTTTACTTCCAATTTGCAGCCATACAAGTTCCTGAAAGCTCACTGTTAACACCACTGGACACATACTCTACACTCTGCCTTTGGGACAGTTTCTCAGCCATTCACACTGGCTGGGAGACTACTCGGAAGGGATAACATCTAAAGCTGTAAGCAGAAATCCTGATTAAACTGCACAGTGAAGGGTGACACAGGAATGTAACTTCTGGATAGCTAACTACTGCTCCAGTGGAAGCTGCTGTGTAGATGGGAATGGCAAGAGCTGTCTCAGCCACTGCTCCAGCCAAGGTCACTAGCCCAGAGTCAAGGGCACCCAAGGGTGAGAGACTGCCCACTATATTCAGGAGTTCCTTCTCTGTACCCCGAGTTACCCAAGGGGCCAAATCGCAGCCCAGACAACACCTGCAGTGTGTAAGTTACCGACCAACTGCCCCATGGCTCTGCCTCTGTGAGAAAGCTCCTGATGGAAATCAAGGAAAAATAAAAGCCCATGTGCCTTTCTCCTTGTCCATCTAAATTAGCAGAAGATAGATACATTTTTCTGAGAACTGAAATTTCCAGGACTGAGTTTACCCAGTTAATGAGATCTTTTG